GCTGCTAGCTTCCAAAGCTATCGTCAATTGAGGTCCAACCTGACCGATCTACCTGACCTTCCGGATGACCTTCATCCTCATCGTCGAATTCAGCTATAGCTATTGCAGCCTCTGAACCTAGCTGCTAGCTTCCAAAGCTATCGTCAATTGAGGTCTAGCCTGACCTACCCGACCTACCCGGCCGACCCGAGCGACCGATATAGGGCTTCCAATATGCCCGACCATTTGATCAAGGCCCTCACAAGCCCGACTTGAACTGGGGGGGCAGTATCGGCTCAATCTATCAAGCTTCTTCGAGAAAAGCTTGAATTATTCGTAATAATAAGAGGTGTAATTCTAAGAGAATTTTAATCTATTATAAAGGTAGATTTTAAATAACAAAAAGTTTTTATAAGATAGCTTAAATTTAAGGCTATTTAATAATAAAAAAAGTTTAAATAAAAATTAAGTATTCATAGACTTATAAGGGTAAGAAGATTAATGTAAAAAAAAAAAGGTTTTAAACTTTAAAGCGAGAGAATGTAGTTAATATATAGAGTAAATTTATAATATAAACGGTCTTAAGAACCTGAGAATTTAGGCATTTTTTTAATGCCTAACTTACCCCTTAAACATGTAGATTTGTGTGGAAAATAATAGAATAGTTTTACGAGAAAATATAATTATAGTAAAATAGTTGAAAAAGCTAGTGTGCTTATAATATATTAAAGGCGTTATATTATGTGATAAATATGCTATTCTATCACTTAAAATATGTATATATAGCTTATAGGAAATCTCTATATCTTAAAACTTTAACCGAATATAACTCCTAAAATACTAGACTTATAATTATATAATTAGTATTAAATTAAAGGGCTTTTTAAGGGCTATTAATTAATTATAAGCTTATAAATTTTAGCTAAGTATTCGTAGAGATATTAGGAAATAGAAATTATAGCGATTTTTATTAAAGTAAGGTAAAACGCTATAGCGTTTTACCCTAGTTAACTTGCCCTACTAAATACCGCGGCTATTATCTTTATAATTAATATGTGAAATTAAGTGGCGTTAATATTTTTAAATAGCTAAGATTATAAGCTTTAAAATAATACTACTCTTATTTTTAAACTCCTTTTTTTCATAAAGTTATAATAGTTTTAATATATAGAATAAAAAAAACTTAAGAATAAAGTTTTTAATATTTATATTAATCTTTATATATATAGAATTAATTATATTAAATATATATTTAAGCTTATAAAATACTTTATAATATATATAATTTTACTTTAATATATATTATTTATATTAATTAAATTAAAAAACATATATAATTATATATAAAATAATTTATATAAATTTTATTAT